TGGGAGGCCGAGACAGGAGAATTGCTTGAACCTGGGAGGCGGAGGTTGCAGTGAGCCGAGATCGCGCCATTGTACTCCAGCCTGGGTAACAAGAGCGAAACTCCATCTCAAAAAAAAAAAAAGAAAAGAAAAGAAAATATAATTATATCATCACTTGTGTAGTGTAAGGTATTAACTTTAGTAAGACATTAATGTATACCTCATCTACTACCTTGAAGCTGTATCTTTATCTTCAAAAGTTTAAAAGTCAAACAGCTTTAGACCAAGTCTCACTTTTCATCACCAGGGTTTCACATGACTAAGCCTGATATGATCCGCAAGTTGGAACAAGGAGAGGAGCTGTGGACACAGAGAATTTTTCCAAGTTACAGCTACCTAGGTGAGTCTATAAATGAGGTCTAGTGAACATTAAATTTCAAGTAGTTCAAGCCTTTGAATGTTTTTGGGGATCTATTTTTGTTATTGTGGGTAAAATAAATATAACATCAAATATACTATCTTAAACTTTTTAAGCATATAGTTCAGTGGCATCAAGTACATTCACATTGTTGTGTAACCATCACCATCATCCATCTCCAGAGCTCTTCATCTTGCAGAATGGAAGCTCTGTACCCATTAAAAATATCTTCCCTTTACCCCTGCTCCCTAGCCCTGCCAACCACCATTGCACTTTCTGTCTCTAAATTTGACTACTCTAGGTACCTCTTATAAGTGGAATCATATAGTATTTATCCTTTTTGTGACGGCCATATTTTACTTAACATAATGTCCTCCAGGTTCATCCACTTCCTTCCTTTTTAATGCTGATTAATATTCTGTTGTATGTATATACCACATTTTGCTGATTCATTCATCCATCAGCGGTCAGTCAGGTTTCTTTCATGTTTTGGCTGTTGTGACTAACACTGCTATGAATGTGGGTGTACAAATATCAGTTTTACTCCCTGCTTTCAGTTCTTTTGGGTATATTCTCAGAAGCGGAATTGCTAGATAATATGGCAATTCGGTGATTAATATTTAAGGAATCACCATACTGTTTATATAGCAGCTGCCTTATTGTTGCAGTTTCTTCACCAGCACTTGTAATTTTCTATATTTTTTATAGTAGCCATCATATTAGTGATCTATTTTTAAAGACCTGAAATCTGTAAAGTGCCTATACATGGCTGACCTTTATGCCTCTAAAATGTAAATTTTAGGTATGAATATCTCTGCCCATGCAAATCTTTTCCTCGTTTGCCTGTGTTTATGGAAATACTGGCTGCTATTACCTTACCAAGAATCTAGTCCATGTTTTGTGGGTATAATGTACATACAGATCTAAAGTGTAAAGTTCTTTGAGTTCTGACAGAAGTATAAACCCATGTATCTCACACTCCAATCAAGATAAAAGACAATTTCATTAACCCATTAAGTTCCATCAGGCCTCTTCCAAGTCAGTCTCTCCCATTAGGACAATACAGTTGTGATGTCTACCAACGTAGATTCATTTTGTCTATTGTAAACCTTTTCCATGTCTGCTTTCTTTCACTCAGCTTCATGTCTGAGAGATTTAGACATTTTTCTGCATGCATAAGTAGTTTGTTAACTGTGGAATAGTTTTCCATTATATGAATATACCAGTTTATGGATCTCCTGTTGAAAGACATTTGGGATGTTTCTAGTTTAGAGCTATTATGAACAAAGCTGCTATAATCATTCTTGTCAAAATATTTTTGTGGACATACATGTTTATTTTTCTTCAGTAAATACTTAGTGATATTGCTGATTCATATGACTCTTTTAGAAACTACCATTTTAGTTTAGTAGTTTAGTAGCTAAAACTACTGTACCACTTTAGACTTTCATCAGCACTGTATGAGAATTTTGTTTGCCCCACATTGTTTTCTACATTTTATGTTCATTTTGCCCATTCTGGTCATTTTGGCCATTCTGGTTGTATATCTTTGCAGTTTTAATTTAGATTTATCTTATGGCTAATAATGTTGAAGACTTTCTCAAGTGCTTTTTATATCAGAGGCACCTGTTCAAGTGTTTTCTTGTTGTTGTTATTTGTTTGTTTGTTTATTTGTTTTGAGATGGAGCCTCACTCTATCACCCAGGCTGGAGTGCAGTGGCGCAATCTTGGCTTACTGCAACCTCCACCTCCCAGGTTCAAGCAATTCTCCTGCCTCAGCCTCCTGAGGAGCTGGGATTACAGGCATGTGCCAACATACCTGGCTAATGTTTCTGTATTTTTGTAGAGACGAGGTTTCACCACATTGACCAGGCTGACCTTGCAATCGCCTGCCTTGGCCTCCCAAAGTGCTGGGATTACAGGTGTGAGCCACTGTGCTCAGCCCTGTTCCAGTGTTTTATCCATTCTTTATTTAGGTATTATTTATTTTTCCTTGAGTAGTAGGAATTCTTTCATATTCTGGATAGAAATCTTTTGTTCAATGTTTGTATTACAAATTTTTTTCCTAGTGTATGGCTTGCATATTCATTTTAATGGTGTCTTTTGACGAACAGAAGTTTTTAATATAACTGGAACAGAAGTCCAGAGAATCATTGTTTCTTTTATAATTAATTATTTGATCTCTCAAACAAATATTTGTCTTTTCTAGATATAGTGAGGATAGTTCTCTTTTCTAGGTATGATGAGGATAGTTCTCTGTATTTTCTGTGTATATTTTGCTTTTATGATTAGTTCTGTGGTCCACCTCGTGTTAAGTTTTGTTGATGATATGGGGTAGAATTCGAGAATCTGTTCTTCTATATGGTTATCCATTTGTTCCATTGGTATTTGTTGACCAGATTACTCTGAGGATCATAGAGAAAATTGATCATATTTATGTCAGTCTATTTTTGGACAATCTGTTGTTTCCTTGGACATATTTTAAGTCACATTGACAATACCTCTTGGTCTTTGATTATTGTAACTTTATAATATGTCTGGAAGTCAGTTAGAGCTACTGAGGAGGCTGAGCCAGGAGTACTGCTTGAACCCAGGAGTTGAAGGTTGCAGTGAGCACTTTTTTTTCTTTCTTTTTTTTTCCAGACAGAGTCTTGCTCTGTCACCCAGGCTGGAGTACAGTGGCATGATCTCAGCTCATTGCAACCTGTAACTCTCAGGTTCAAGCAAGTCTCATGCCTTAGCCTCCTGAAGAATAGCTGGGATTACAGGTGTGCACCACCACGCCAAGCTAATTTATATATATATATATATATGTATATGTGTATATATATATATATGTATATGTGTATATATATATATATACACACACACATATATATATATTTAGAAGAGATGGGGTTTCACCATATTGGCCAGGCTGGTCTCAAACTCCTGACCTCAGGTGATCAGCCTCAGCCTCCCAAAATGCTGGAATTACAGGTGTGAGCCACTGCCCCTGCCTATTTCTAGTAGTTTTAATTAGATATAGTGATTATAATTTTAACCATTAGTAACCTTTTAAGAGAGTAAACTAAAAAGTAGATAGTTACGAATTGTCTGCCCCACACTAGCATTCTGTAACAGATTAGCAAATGTTATGAATACATTATCTCACAACTCTATAGATATATGATTCCTCATGTACAATATTTCAGTGTTTAACAGATCCAAATATATTTAGTCTTTCTATTCTGTATAAAATTAAAGATCCAAAAGTATGTAAATTTAAACTTATATTTGATAATGAGTGTTTCAGTAGTTTATCTTACTTAGAAACTGTAAGTGACTATTAACTTAGCATGACTGTTAGGTTACAAGTTACTAAGAAGATTTTGGAAACAGTTTTTTAGGCAGATATTATAAAACAACTGTGGAAAAGCTTATTTATAAAACTCTTATTCCACTTATATTAACCTACACATATAGTATTTATTATGTTTGGATTGTTCATGAAAATTTCATCATGCATTGAACAAAACTAGCCATCATCTCAAGTTATTTCCTTTTTAATTATTTTTACAGCACATGCAAGTAAAAGGCAATTAAGAGCAAATCAAGAAAACCAGAAAAGTTAAATACATATGTTTGTTTTGTTTTCCTGCTGTGTTTAATGTATATAAAATAGTGCATATCAGACAACCATTTTTACTATATGTTTATTTGTGCATTTTTCTTAAGTTGAATTTATAGTTTTTATAGTGTTAAATATATTGGTAACTTACTTGACTAGTATAGCCAAGTAGACTAAAAATGTGTGCTGAGAGATGCACCTCTTTTTCTTAAACCAACAATATTAAATTCATCTTAGTTATCAAAATTTTAATCCCAAGTCACATGAACTCGAAAGGCCTTTTGGTTAGTTCCTATATTTCTGAGGATGTTAGCAACATTTCATTTATATAAACACTCTTTTTACCCTTCAAACGATTTGCATAAACTCCTTTAAGGGGTTTGTAAATTAATTTGGCCAAATGCTGTGGCTCACACCTGTAATTCCAGCTACTCAGGAGGCTGAGGCAGAAGGATCGCTTGAGGCCAGCAGTGTGAGGCCAGCCCGGGCAACATAGCAAGACCCAGTCTCTGACAAAAATGTATCCCAGTGCAATGATGTGTACCTGTAGACCCAGCTATTCAAGCAGCTGAGGCAGGAGAATCACTTAAGCCCAGGAGTTCAAGGCCACAGTGAGCTATGTACTACTGCATTCCAACCTGGGCAAGAGTGAGACCTTGTATCTAAAGAACTAAAATTTTTAAATAAATCAATACCATCTCGAGGTAAGAAAATATCACATATACATAGCATACATATAGAGACATACACAGGCCGACAGACCCAAATAGAGATCTTATAACTTTCATTCTAAAATGTTAGCCAGGAATCAGTAAAATAGTATTATACTCTCATCTTTGCTCCACTTTATATTTTTATCTGAATTGTGTTTCTGACACATGGAACAAGTTAAGGTTAGCTGTTCAATATGTGGGCTAATGCTTTTTAGCCAGTATTTGTGGAGGAGATTTTCAGATTTTCATTTTTCCTGTTATGTAATCTTATGGAAGCAGTGGACTAAATTTTTCTTTCTTTTTTCTTTTTAGATGGAGTTTTGCTCTTGTTGCCCAGGCTGGAGTTCAGTGGTGCAACCTTGGCTCACTGCAACCTCCACCACCTGGGTTCAAGCGATTCTCCTCTCTCAGTCTCCCAAGTAGCTGGGATTATAGGCACCCACCACCATGCCTGGCTAATATTTTGTATTTTTAGTAGAGATGGGGTTTCACCATGTTGGCAGGCTGGTCTTGAACTCCTGACCCTAGGCGATCCACCCATCTTGGTCTCCCAAAGTGCTGGGATTATAAGCATGAGCCACTGTCCCCGGCCACTGTGGACTAAATTTTAGGTAGATGACTAAGCTATCTGGATGTCTTCAAAGCTTGGCTAAGTCAAT